TTTTCCCGCCAATTCAAGGAAAGGTGAAATCAGGACTAGTAGAGCTATCTATGGACAGAGATATTTCACAAAAATATAAAAAAATGAGTACTGCATTTCCCCCATTTTTTGTTAATTTTCCCCGGCGGCAATGGGTTAAGCATGAGGGTAGGAGTGAATTTAAGGAAGATTTGGGAGTGAGATTTGGGGGTGGGAGACAGAGAGAGGGAAATACAGAGGGAGAGGGAGAGGGAAAGGAAAAGGGAAAGGGGAGGCGAAAGGTAGAAGGGATTTTCATGGGTCTCACTAGAAATAATAATAATAATAATAAGAAGAAGAATGAAAACATGAGTGATAATGATGATGATGGTGATAGTGATGATGATAACTATTATAACACAGATAATAATAATATTAATGATAATAACAACAACAGTTATAATCATGATGATAAAAATAATAAGACTGATGATGATGAACTAATAATGATAATAACAAATGTAAAAATTAAAATAATGATAATAATAGAGATTGTGCGGGCGGAGGGACCATCCTATGTGACTGCACGCGGAAAAAAAAGTTTCCATGGACAAAATATATCTACGACACCGGCTTTACACTAACATACATTCTCTTTCGGGAGATGGGTGGTCTAGTCTGCTGGCCATGAGTTATGTAAACGAAAGAAAAATTGTGTAGGTCATATGTAGTTCTTTATGACAGTCTTTATGACAGTTTCCGATATATTACAAGATTGAGACGGCTGTGCCAATTGTGTATATGTAGACTCTAAAAAGGGTTTGATATTGTGACGTGTAAGTCTATCATGGAAATTAAAATACCAAGGTGGAATGAGAGACAAACTCCTCGATGAATGACTTTGTACATGAAAGACTAATGAGCACAGTAATTAGAGGGAAGCACGCTACATGAAGACGGGTAACTAGCGAACTCCATCAAAGATAGGTCTTGACGCGCAACTACGTGAATTTGCTGACGACGCGAAAACACACATGAAAAATAGAATACAAAAATATAAAAATATATAAAATCGGGAATAAACAAGGGAGGGTAATGTGCCCTTTTTAGTAGAAACATTGAAAGGAAAGCGTCGTTTTAGTAAAGTCGTGGGAAGAAAAGTGCTCATTAAAAAAGAAAAAGGAAGGGG